TTTGTTTAATCATTATTTGAAGACTTTTCTTTAATTAAGTAGTAGGATTCAGTGGCCGGTGCACATTTGTCCCAGGAGGAACAGCTAACAGTTGCATTAATATACAAAGGAGATTGTTCTGATCCATTTAGCTTAAATGATAAAATGTAAGCTCCCTCCTTTTAAGGGCCTCCATTTCACTAGATATTGTGCCGCTTTAATTCTTGGAATGCTTTCCCAAAATTCTACCACATCGTCTTTAGCTCCTTTTACAAAGCCTCTCGCTCATGCATTCCACCAGTTTTGCGTATTGCTAGCGATTTCTTGTGAGCTTCGATCTGATAATTTTGTAAACATTTAATAAAAAATTGTTTTTCCATTCACACTTCAACTTACATACATATTTTTGGGTTTACACTCTTTATATTATTGATATTTTAAAACAATTTGTTTCGCTCCGACACGAGTTGCTATCGTAGCTCCGTTCCGAAAATTCGAAAATTGGTATGCTGTAATCCGATAATAACCATCAGCGGCACTGCCAGCTGAAAACGTGAAATTCGAAGTTCTTAATCAGCAGCTTTGGCAGAAACAAATCAAAATAAATATAATCGCAAGTGAATAGAGAAATTTAAAAAAATTTGTTTAATCATTATTTGAAGACTTTTCTTTAATTAAGTAGTAGGATTCAGTGGCCGGTGCACATTTGTCCCAGGAGGAACAGCTAACAGTTGCATTAATATACAAAGGAGATTGTTCTGATCCATTTAGCTTAAATGATAAAATGTAAGCTCCCTCCTTTTAAGGGCCTCCATTTCACTAGATATTGTGCCGCTTTAATTCTTGGAATGCTTTCCCAAAATTCTACCACATCGTCTTTAGCTCCTTTTACAAAGCCTCTCGCTCATGCATTCCACCAGTTTTGCGTATTGCTAGCGATTTCTTGTGAGCTTCGATCTGATAATTTTGTAAACATTTAATAAAAAATTGTTTTTCCATTCACACTTCAACTTACATACATATTTTTGGGTTTACACTCTTTATATTATTGATATTTTAAAACAATTTGTTTCGCTCCGACACGAGTTGCTATTCGTACAAAATTTCCGACAAATACATAAAAATTACAGCTACGTCGGATTCAGGCATACTATCATTACAAATTTCGAAGATTGCCTACGAATTTCGAAATTACGATGCGACAACGCGGATTTCAGCATACCGATTTTATGATTCGTAGCAAAATCGAATCTACGACGGATTACAGCATGGGGGTGTACAACTTTCTGCAAAAAATTTTTATTTGCAAAAAATTTGCAATAAAAAATTTTATTGTATTTTTTAAACAATGTGCCACCTTTGTTTTTTTTGCATATTCCTTATTTGCTAAGCTTTCTAACGATATATAATTTTGAATGGGCGTGGCAAAAGGACCACAAGTTTTTCATACTAGAACGCACTCGGGTCCGCCCTGCATTTTTGTCGACAATAACACAATTTTACAGAAATTAAAATATTGTTCGACCTGCGACATTTTTATATCCATATAATGTAAAATTTACCGCTGAATCCGAAAGTAAAATCAAAACGTAAGATACAGCCAAATTTGCGGTTTTTGAGATCTGAAAAAAGTGCGGTCATTTAATTACAATTTTCTTTAGATATAGTTGACCAACCGTGGAATTTTTGTATGAATTTTTATGACGAATTTTCCGCTGAATCCGAATACCAAATCAGTATACAAGAAAGTATAACAAAGTACAAAAGTGCACTATTTTAATTGCAATTTCCTTTGAATGTAGTTGGCCACTCTTAAATTTGTTTTTGTATTATCTGCGTCAACAAGATTATCCAACTGGATAAACAATTTAGGAGCTATACCTACATTTAATTATCGACAAGTTTTGCATAATTTTTAACAAAAGTTCCAAAAAATAGTTTACTTTCAGTACAAACATGTGTTTTAGATTGGGTCAAATTGTTCGGGTGAGAAAAAATGCGAAAGGTGTATAGAAAAAATGAAGTTTACGCTAAATTCTCAGAAAATTATCCAAAGAAACTAAGGGTTTCCCGCCGAGTGACATAAAGATTTTCGGTTGGTATTTTAAAATAACTAGAGCATGATTTAATTTAAAGTGTACTGTAACGATGTGCCGGATTTGAGAAATAAGAGCCGGATTCGAATATCCTCCTTTAATAAATTTAACAGTATTGTTATATTCGGTTTTTTTGTTTAGCGACATACTTATGACCAGATTATCTGCTGTTTCGAGATGAACTATCTAATAAGTAGTTAAGAATACAAAAATTTCTCTTCTGAAATCCAAGTTTTAAAATAGTCCTGCATAAAAAAGATGACTTCTCTGTCTACAACCTTAATGTATCAATTATTTTTTCTAAACAGAGGAGAACCAAAAGTTACACAACAATGAACGGTGCTAAGAAAAAACGCGTGGTTGATGTATTTTTATTTTAAAATGTAATGAAAATGAAGCTAATATGCATGCTTACATATCGTCCCGCTTCCCGTATCGTCCCGTAATGCTTCATTGTTGCAATATTTTGTGACCGACGTTTCAAAATTCGTTGTCTTTTGTCTGACATCAATAAATCTAAAAGCTGAGTTGATGGTGAACTAACTCGAAAATAAAAATCAGCTAGAGTTGAATCATATGAAAAGGGCTTAACTCTATTGAAAGCTTCTATTGAAGAGTTCACCAGGATGGTAATACTTTGAGGAAATCACGAGCGGCTCTGATGCTGACTCCAGTCTTTGTAGTGATGAGGATAGCCAAACGATGGCTAGACAAGGCAGCGAGCGTACAAGAAACAAGTAAGAGCAGCGCTGTCTTCGGCTATGCCGAAGGCTTCATACCTTTCATGAACATCTGCAAATTTTACTTTGACAGATTACTGATTTTGAATACATCTGCATACATCGATAGAAGAGTTACATACTTATATAAAAAATCGCATCTAAACAATCAGAGGTATGGAAGATATACTTTATATGGCACCAATCTAAGTGATTTTCACTGCTATGTGATCGGTATGTAAACCGGTAACACAATTTATTGGGTTTAGTTTCCTACATAAAGGAGATATATCGCAAAAACTGGTATCTGAACAATCAGTGCTATAGGAGATAAAGCTTATACAGCATAGATTTTGACGATTTTCTCAGTAGACTTTGTATTATTATTTATAAAATATCTTACGAAATTTATCGGTTTTAGCTGTTCAAATAAAGGAGTTTTACAGTAAAATCCCATATCTGAACAATCAGATGTATGGAAGATATATGTTGTAGTCATCCGATCCTTGTTATTTTCACTGTAAGTATTCTGTTAATAATGAGTGAAAATGGTGCGAAATTTCATGTTCCTAGCTGCATAAATGGAGGAGTTATGATAAAAGACCTCATATCTGAACAATCAGTTGTATGGGGGCTGCAGGTTATAGTGACCCGATCTTTGTTATTTTCACTGTAAGTCTTCTGTTGATAATGAGTGAAAACAGCGCGAAATTTCATGGTCCTAGCTACATAAATGGATGAATTATAACGAAAAATCTCATATCTGAACAATCAGTTGT